GAGATACAGTGACACAGAAAGAAAAACTGTTATCCTACACGGTTGTCCCTAACAAGGATTCATAACTCCACATTTTATCCACTCCTCAGCTTGTGCACTTGTGAGATGTTTCCATTTTTTTTCTGCTTTGGGGAATAACATTGTCATGAACATAGGAATATATTTTAATGTTTCCTTATTATCTCTTTGCTCTTACATATACACTTGTGAGTACAGGTTGTGTAGTAACTATTATAACCTGTAGCGCACAACACTTTTCACGGATTTGGGCTAGGGATCTGAGGTTTGAATAAAGACAAGACAATGGGTCATTCTTGCAAGGAGAAAGCCATTTATTTCAAAGGAGAGGAGACTTACTTATATACCAATCAGCAGACACAGTGGAAAATTACTCAGGTCAGAAGTTCACACCCCCAAGTCCCTCTGGAGATAAGGATGGGCTGATATTTTGCATTCTTGCAAACAGGCCTAGTCAGAAGGAGGGAAACAAGGAAGTAAACTCCTAGTCACAAGACAGTCAACGGACCCCAATGCGGAAGGGCCCCACAGGTCACCCTTAGTCACGAGATGATCAGCAGAACCCAATGGGAAAGGACCCAACAATAACCTTTAACAAACAGCTAGACTGTTTTCCAGCAGCTGTAGACACCATTTCACCTTGTTTTCAGCAGAGTACAAGAGCTCTGATTTCTCTACATCCCTCATTGGCCATCTTTATAACTCCAGCTAACTCACTGCGTAGGAAATGGCACCTCAGGACTTGGGTTTCCTTTTCCTTGGTAAGCAGGTATCCGGGGTCCCAGGCCACGACTGAGGTCACCCCAATCACCTGGCGGATTTGAGAGCTTGCTGCAAACTGCATGAGGCTTTATTGTAATTTAACGAGCTAACCTCATGTTAGCTTTGGTCTTTCACCCACCCGCCATGGTGGATGGTTTGCAAAGACTCTGAGAAGCCGCAGAACCAAGATCTTATAGGGCAGTGTAAGGGGAGTGTCTAGGGATACGCACAGGCTCACTATTGGTGTGCCTCCAGCCTTGGAGGGACTGCCCTGTGTTGATTGGCCAACTGGTTGTTATGGCCCATAGGCCCTCCCAGGGTGGTTGCTATGCTTTGCGTCATTGCTGTGTGCTTGTCCATAAAGTACACCCAGGGTGTAAAGCATAGCGCCACCAGCTAACTTCTGATTGGTTCCTTGTCATGAGGCAGGCATCTAACTTTCTAGTGTCCAGGACAAGCTCATACAAGCACGTGTTCGGCCGCTATGACTGCCAAAAGGGGAGCTGGTCCCTTCAATAGAACCTCATTTTACCTGTTTATTGCCAATTTGAAAATCTTTGGGGAAATGTCCTATCAGATCCTTCCTCATTTCTGGGGTGGGGAGTCTGGGTTATTTGTTGGTTGTGTCATCAAAGAGTTTTTCTCAATAT